CATCAAACTAAAAAGTTTCTGTATGGCAAAGGACACCATCAACAGAACAAAAAGGCATCCTACAGTATGAGAGAATATATTTGTAAATGACATATCTGACAAGGGGTTAACATCCAAAATATGTAAAGAACTCACATGCCTCAACACCCAAAAAGCAAATAACTCAATTCAAAAATGGGCAGAGGGTACGAAGAGACAATTCTCCAAAGAAGAAATTCAGATGGCCAACAGACACATGAAAAGATGCTCCACATTACTAATCATCAGGGAAACGCAAATTCAAACCAGAATGAGATATCACCTCACACCAATAAGAATGGCCAGCCCCGAAAAGTCTAAGAACAACAAACGTTGGTGAAGATGCGGCCAAAGGGGAACCCTCCTACACTGCTGGTGGGAATGTAAACTAGTTCAACCATTGTCAAAAGCAATATGGAGGTTCCTCAAAAAACTAAAAATAAAAATACCATTTGACCCGGAATCCTACTTCTTGGAATTTACCCAAAGAATACAATTTCTCAGGCTCAAAAAGACATATGCACCCCTATGTTCATTGCAGCACTATTTACAATAACCAAGATATGGAAGCAACCTAAGTGTCCATCAGTAGATAAATGGATAAAGAAGATGTGGTACATAGACACAATGGAATACTATTCAACCATAAGAAAGAAACAAATCCTACCATTTGCAACAACATGGATGGAGTTGGAGGACATTATGCTCAGTGAAATAAGCCAGGTGGAGAAAGACAAGTGCCAAATGATTTCTCTATTTGTGGAGTATAACAACGAAGCAAAACCGAAGGAACAAAATAGCAGAAGACTTACAGACTCCAAGAAGGGACTAGTGGTTACCAAAGGTGAGGGGTGTGGGAGGGCGGGTTGGGAGGGACGGAGAAGGGGATTGAGGGGTATTATGTTTAGTACACATGGTGTGGGGGGTCACAGGGAGAACAGTATATCACGGAGAAGGGACATAGTGGATCTCTGGCAACTTGCTGCACTGGTGGACAGTGACTGCATTGGGGTATGGGTGGGGACTTGATAATATGGATAAATGTAGAAACCACTTTGTTTTTTCATGTGAAACCTTCATAAGAGTGTATATCAATAATAACTTAATAAAAAAATTTTAATGTTTATATAGCATTTATTTATACTGAATTATTAGCATGTTCTTCTTAGACTATATAATACATGAGCCAGAAAGGAAAAAATTTACCCTAGACACCTGATTGCTTCTGAAAAATCGAAAATGATTACAGACTATGAGGGAGATGATAAACTTCATAAACAGAATGGTTCTTATTGAAAAAAATATACTATATAAATGTAATAAACTATAAAATAAACTGAAGGAAAGAAAAATTAATGACTACATTATCACTCTGTATCCTGGAATTGTCTGTCAACCAAGTATCTTCAACAAATTGGTGCCCCCAGAACATCCAGGGAAGGGTGGCCCCCTTCCTCTATCTATGGCTGCCATTGATAAGTAAACACTCCACTGTTACCCAGAGGTTGGGACCTTACTCCAGAGTCCTCAATGTCAGATTTCCTTTTTTTCTGGCCACTAACACATGCTATCGCAGGACATGCTTACCAAATCCATAACATCCAGTCATTTCAAGAAACAAAGCTGTGTAGTTCCATTTCTAAGTAGTGATATTGAAAACAATAAGCAGTGCCACATGAGGGATCTTCTGCAGGGATTTTTACATGACTCACCTTCCAGCCAGAAGTCTTTGAGCAACCAAAGAAATGTATTAAATGCGGAAAGGTAGAAGTTGGAAGACCTTGGTGTGAACTCAAGTGGTTTTTAAGATCTGAGCAAAGCCATTAAGTCCTCCCCCTTCTCCTGTGCTTCTCCATCGCACTCCATGCCATCTCAATCCAGTGACACGGGCTCTGGGGTGGAGATTGATGTGCTTCTCCTTCTCCTGCCCTCTGTATACACCACTGCTGCTGACATAACAGCACTGAGACCGACGCCTCCAAGATGCGGTCCCAGATGACGCACCGGAGGGGCCACCCCTAGGAGGCTTCAGACCTCAGCACAGCACTCAGAGCCTCAGTTTCAGGATCAGTCAACTGAGGGCTGTTACTAGAGCAGAGGTTGGCCAAGTTTTTCTCTAAAAGAGGATAGTAGATATTTTAGGCTTTGTGGGCCAAGAGGCAAAACTGAAAATATGATGTAGGTACTTTTATAAAATGTCGGCATTCATAAGCTCTGTCCCTCAGGTGCTCAGTCTTGGACCTTGAATTGGTCAGGTCATAAAGCATCAGAAGCCATGAAGAACCTATGTTGTGGGAGGACAAGGGGCACAGGAACAGCAGCACCCAGCTTTCAGGGCCCGCCCTGCTGCCCAGAGTGGGTGCGGCCAGCTGCAGTGTATCCCTACCTTCTTCTGTGCTGTGGGTGTGGCTGAGGTCCTTTTTACTACCTGACTTTGTATTTGACTGACAAGCTTTATTCTACAGCCTTTCCAGTGATGTGACACATAGTGTCCTTTCAATAAGTGTCTTTTTTGCTAAACCACAGAGTTAGTATTTATTGCCTCCATCTATGAACCTGATACACTGCCCACGTCTTTAGGAACGTCTTTAAAACCTCTTCTTGCAGGAATTGTTACCAACCCCCATTTCAAATGGACAGATCAACTCACATTTCTGAGAATACACATATCTAAACATTTATGCATCCAATTTGATGCTTTATTTTCTAATTTTTATAAATATTTTGGTCTGCCTTACAGAGTCATGAGAATTTCAAGGTTAGAAGGAAACTTGAAATTAGTTAAATCCCTGCACAAAACACTAACCCCTGATTTCCTTTAACAACATTCTTACCAAGTGGCTGACAATCTATAGCTGGACAGTTTTATTAATAAGAAAATTACTTCTCCCTTCTCAAATGTTCATTCAATCTTTGGCCAGCTTTTTTGGGAAAGGTGAGAAATTTTCTTCTGTGTGTCCTCTTTCTAACATTTATTAGCTACTTCCAATAAGCTTTTTTCCTATTTAAATCTTCTAAATATCTGAAGACCAATTTGGTAGAGTACATTCTCTCCCTCCCCTCCCCATCCCATCATTAGGCTAAACTTCTCCATCAGAGAGGAACTTTTCATCTCTTGAGTGAGTTCTAGTTTCTCCACATCCTTATTAAAGAAGCCTCTTCACAGTCCAGAATGTTCCTCACCCAACCAAAAGTGTCATGGTCATCCTCATGGCTCTGAGGATGCTCAGCAACTACTTTTATCAGCCTTCTGAGAAGATACCATTCTACTTTGGTCCTAAACCACCTTCAGCATAAGGCTTTTCATGTGCTACTAAGGATCCTCCCTTATTCAAGACAGGCTGTGTTTGACGCTCATGCCTAGTGTCTCAGACACTGTGAAGGAGTCTAAACTTAAGTGTCAAAAGTGCCAATGATCTTCAGGTTTCATAAACTATAAAAAAAATTAATACATTTATATAATTTGTGGCCAGCTAATAATTTTATCAGCTGCAACATTCAAAATTCATGTAGTGATTTAACTGTATAACTTGGTAGAACCAAAACCTTCCAAAATAATTATGTATATTTTTATTATAGATTTAGCAGCAGTGGAAAAAGTAAAACCAAAATATTAATTAATTATGTACTGCATAATTAAGTGACATTAATAATAAATCTCTAGACCTGTAGTTTTCAAAATATGGTCACCAGACCAGCAGCAGCAGCTCTGCCTGGAGATTTTTAAAACTGCAAACACTCAGCTCCTACACCAGACCTACTGTATCGGAAACCCTGGGAATGGGGTGTAGCAATCTTTGTTTGAACAAAGTCTTCAGTATATAGTTCTGATTTACACTGCTAGTCTAGATCAATCCTAAAGGAGTGTTAAAACCTCATAATCCTTTAAGACTTGAACAGTCCTTGCTTATCTCAGAATGGGCTCTCTCTTTTACATACGAGTAAAGTTTCAGAGTTCTAAAAATCAGCATAAATTTTGTTCTTATTCCCCAACTTTCTTTAACAATCCATGGCTTTTGAAAGTAGTGCCGGGTGATTAGCTGATACCTTGCGCATAGCCCTATTCAGCATGAAATATGAATTACAGAAAGTCTAGGAGATAATACATTTTTGGGTGGGGTAAAAAAAATAGTTCCCTTTTTCAATTAGAGGAAGATCACTCCTCTTCTGGCAGACCCGATTTCTGACAGGTTTTATTTTTTCTTCTTCCGATGAGGACTTTCCCATCATTCTCTTGCCCTTTTGGCTAGCATGATTTTTTTCTTTTTCCTCCTCCTTCACATTTTAACTCAGGAAACCACTCAGTATTTTGTTTTTTCTTGTTTTAGCGAAGTTAAGTTTTCCTTAACTTGGCCTTACTGTTGCAAATTATGGTTCATTTTTGAAGTATGGATGCTGGAAAAAGCTTCTAAGGAACCCTAGTGTTGCATTGCAGGACTAGGCCTTTCATTTTGGATTGTGTTTCTAGACCTGAATGTAGATTTCAAGTCTTTACTGCATCACAAAAAAATATTTATAAATAATTCATGATACCAGTATATTTTTACTAAGAAGTTCTTCTCCTATGACAGATTTGGAAAGCTGAAATGTTTTACAAAACTTTCTGAGTATTTAAGACCTTTCCAAAATGAACAGTAAGCTCTGTCAGAACTAATTAATTAGCTTAAAATACTTCAACTGTGATGTTTGTGAAAAAAAGGGCGAATGAGAATAAAGAGAACATTTGTTGAGTACTATGTGCCAGGAACTGGACCATATGTTTGTATATTTTTAAATAAAATCTCTATGACAACTCATACGGTTAAAAACTGATGCTCAATGTTTTGGTAAATTTTCCATGGTCACATATCTAGTAAGTGCTGGTCAAGAGAAATTCAGGGAATGCTTGGTATGACTTACAGTCCATTTTCTTCATCTACATTACACACTGCAACAGATGCTCAAAAGACTGGCTGAATAAAAGGAAGAACAGATTTACTTACATTGTTGTTGGTCACAGCAAAGTACTGCAAATTACTCAGATACTGGATTTCTTCTGGAATGAAGGTCAGGTGGTTATAGCTTAGATCCAAATAGTGTAGTTTGGTGCATAGGAAGAGCTGCAGAGGCAGATTCTCAATGTTATTATGGTTCAGAGAGAGCTGCTCTAGATTAGACAATGCCCCAATCTGGGCAGGAATATAAGCAATGTTATTGTGCCACAACTTTAAGCAGGAAAGATTCTGAAGATGCTGAAAGCTAATGATTTCTTCTACAGTTTTAAGATTATTTTCCTTTAGGTCTAACTCATGCAAATTGTTCAGGCTGAAAATGGAGTGTGGAATGCGCTCCAGGTCACAGCTGATCAGCTCTAAGCTTTTCAGATTGACCATCTTCTTCAGGTTGTTCAGCACGACCAGTTTGCTTCCCTCATTATCCAGGGACAGCTTCTGCAGGGAAGGCAGGAGGTCGGTGATGACCTGTGGGATCCGCGACAGGCTGCTCTTCAGGTAGAGCGTCCTCAGGTTTCTTAAGTCCTGAAAGCCCTCCAACTGCATGGGACCCAACTGCTCGGGTAGAACACAGCCCGACAGATAAAGTTCCTTGAGATTCTTCAGGTGAAATACCCAGCGTGGAATTTTCCCCATTTCAGTAAATTTCAGGCGGAGAATCCTTAAATTCTCCTCCAGGAAGGCCAGGGCAGGAGGGTCCGCCACCAGGGAGGAGTGGTGCACATGCAGCTCCTTGAGGCTGACCAACTGGGAGATGGCGGAGGGCAGCTTGGCCTCAGGGATAAGCTCCAGGCTTAGCACTTCAATTTCAGTCAGTTCAAACACATTGTCTGGAAGACCATTCAGCATAAACAGATGCAGTTCTATCTTGTCTTGGGAGTTTTTCACAAGCTTACTTTTCAGTTTCTCGACTGTCCATTCATTATTGAGGTTGATCTGTTTCAGTTTATTCTCGCTGACCTCCGACAGGAATATGGAGAAACGTTTGGAATAAAGAGGATCATACTGATCAGCCAGGTGGAGAATGAAGGCAAAGTCGTTCTTGACGTCAGGGATGTCACTGTAGTTGCTTTTTTCTCTCAATGCCTCAAAGGAATATTGCTTCAGAGAACTCCTCAGCATCCACCACAAGCTGTAGGAGGAGGTGAGCCCATAAAGTATAACCAGGATGACATAGAACGAAGCCAGGACCTTAAATATTTCTGCCAAGGAGTAGACACACTGGTAATGCTTATAGCCTGTGAAAGCCTGTACATCAACTGAGCAGTCAATTTCAAGAGTGATGTAGGTTAAGAAATATGGAACGTAAGTTATGATGAGGACAAACAAAATGACTTTGACTATGATCTGCTTCAGATACACTCTGTAAATGATGTCCTTCTGCTCCACGTGCATGCGGAACCTTTTCACTTTTTCAAAGATGGCTTTGGCCTGTTCACCCTCCTTCTTGTCCAGGACGCTGGAAGTTGGGCTTTCTATGCCAGCTGACTCCAGACCAGCCTGCGGGTAGGGTAATGACTGTTTGCTGGGATCGACTTCGGCAGAGCACCCTGAGGATGAAAGCAATGCCTTGGACTTGGAGAGGGTCAGGGGCCTCACCGACTGCTCTGCCACCGTTTCGGACAGGGCCCGGGTGGTCCACGGAGAATCGAAGCACTTGTGGAGGATGGCCACAAAATGCTCAAGCCTGGAGCTGGTACTGGGGTAGTGAAGCCAGAAGTTGCTGCAGGCTGCAAAGATGAGCGTGTGCAGGAGCACCAGGTAGGGGAAAAATTTTGCAAACCAGTGGAGCTGCTTCTCATAGCAGACAGCATCGATGTACGAGTACTGCTGTCTGTGGAGGCCGTTCTGGATCCTGAGGGGCAGCGGAAGCAGTGCCCCATTGTCAGAGGACATGTTAGCGCTGGCTTTCAGGACGTCCCAAGGCACAGCACAGTGACTGTCGAACTCCACCTTGCACGGAAGACAGCAGAGAACCCTGCTTTGCGTCAGCTGAAGCGCGCCAGCCAGCGCTGCCACGAGCAGCATGACCAGCGTGATGTAGTACCAGAAGACGTCCCACCACGGTTTCAGGATGTGATACGATGGCTGGGTGTCTGCCAAGCATTTCAGCTCTGTTAGTGTGATCATGACTTTCCCTTGCAGGAGTACAGAAGCTGGGAAGAAAAAAAACACACTGAAGCAAGTACCCAAATCCTATCAAAGTAGGACTTCCCTACTCGGGGGTATAAAATGCTTCTGCTTTCATCTGAGACCTTAGCTAGCCCCACTGTGTAGCACGAAGTCCCTCAGAGGAGAGACAATCTGGCAATAGCCAGGCTGGATTTGTAAAGGAATTTGGAGCAGGACATGAAGCAACTATCTAATTTCCTCCTGGATCTCCACTCCATGCTAACCTATTAAAAACAAGAAGCCAAATCTCTTCAATCCACATTAGGAAAACTTGTTCTCATGCTATTAATTTCTAACAGCCACACAGTATACCTTACAGTTTGAATAAGCTCTTTTCCACATCTCACCCCATATCTGGAACACTGGTCACAGCCTGGGTTGTGTTTCAACCACTACCAGGAACCTCTTTTGCACAAGCACTGCTTTATAAAATGATCCCTTAGGATTACAGAGATCTACCAATTCTATGTTCTAACCAAACTGTGATTTAATGCATTATCTCCTTTTCCCCCAAGCTCTTGCTTTATAACTTAAGTTCACATCCAACCTAGAGTATTTTAAAATGACAAACAACAGTTATGGCTTAAAAAGGGATAAGAAAAAATAAATACTTAGAACATTCTACTATGGGGACTCTCTCACATTTAATGTTTAGACAGCAAAGAACTAATAGGATAATAACTAAAGGCATACTCTATTACTACAGTATTTTTGCCTTCAGAAAAATAAGGTGGATTTTGCACTTACATATTGAAAAGTACTCAGACAATGCCCCTTACAGAAATGATTTATGTAACATTCAGCCTTCCATAAATCATTTAAAAAGTTGCTAATTAGTAAAAATCCAGATCATCAACAACATGGCACAGAGTAAAACAGATAAAAAGAAATATTTGGATCTAATAACATGTCTGGTAAGAATAAAGAAGAAAGGAAGTCACACTAGCATGGTCATTGTGTCTTGGTGCTTCAGCTTCAATCTACATCCAAGGGCTTTTCTTGCAACTTTCTTGAGTCTGAAGTCTTCTCATCCCTCCTGGGCCTGAGTTTCTCTCTCTCTAGATACCCCAGTACTGGTTAGCAACCCCAAGGAAGCTTTTTTTGCTCTAGGGAGTGATGTCCCTAGAATCCCATTACAAAGAACCCTAGGATCCCATGACAAATCCCATTACAAAGGCCCTGGTATCTGTTAATAGAGTCCTGTCCTTTGCTGGTCAGCCCCAGCACATTTCTGACCTGATCCTGAACCCTACACTTTCATGTTCTCCCTCTGGTTTGGCATCCCATGATTGTTGCTTTCAACTGCTGGACCAGAGTGCCACTTCACACCCGCATCCTCTCTGGGTGTCATCATATATGTATTCAACCACCTTTTAGGACATGCAGCTTGATTATATAACACTCCAGGGCTTCCTTCCTTCACTCTAGTGGGCTTATTTCTAACTTTCAACTCCTCCCATTCTGCCTCACCCCACTGGAGCTGACCATAATTGTGTGTCAAGACAAGACAAAAACAAGAAACAAAAGCATTATTTATATGAGACAAATAGGAAATCTGGGACTTAAACCCCAAAATACCATAAACATGGTAGGAGGGTGGATGGCAGAAAACATCGCTGGATGATCACATGGAGAACACCTGGGATTTTAATTGACATGAATGCATACTTTCAACTAATTGTGTGATAGCTATGATGCTAAATGCTACAGTGTGACTATAATCTATGGTCATGTTAACAGTTGAACCCAGATAAAGGGGCAACAGTCCTTCTGTACCAGCCTGGTGAGATCACACCTAGAATAGAATGCTTAGTCATAGTTAAGACTAAGTGGGCAACAAAACAAGAGCTACAACATTTCCAATGGCAGAACACAGGAAATTAATGATATTCAGCCAAGAAAAAAGATCACTAGGGAAACCTGAGAATTTCTCTAAATTTTGTGTGACTATCTCTTACATGAAAGGATAAGTAGATTGTTCCAGAGGCAGAACGAGGTGGGTGGGTACTTTAGAAGTACCCTATTTTGATTCCAGTTGTGGTGGACTATCCACAGAACTACCACTCTGTGAATGCTTAGGCCCTTCACCCTACTGTGGTCTAGCTGAGTAGGATGACCATCCATCAGGGGTGTTGCCAAGGAATTTCTTATAACAGATAAAGAGAGTGAGCCAGATCATCTTTAAGGGCCCTGCTTAAAGTTTATGGCTTTATTTATCCTCTCAAAAGTCCTGAGAGATAAATTCATTTAAGACGTGCAGCTGAAACTGTGGAAGAATGTAAACACCAACAGCTCTAACAATGATAAGGTTGGTTGACAGAAAGTGAATATTAATTCAGCAAAGAACAGAAGTCCACACTGACCAAAATAAAATATTTTAAATATTTATACTTACTTTAATGAAAAAAATGAATTCAATAAGTTGGCTATGCTTCAATCAGGAGGCCTACATCTTTTGAAATTTCTTAGACATACCATCTCTGTGTTTGTCTTCATTCTATGAGAAAGCATAGATACCTTAAAATAGCTGCAGTCATTCAAACAAACTGATACTGTCTTCAGAGACCCTCCCCCTCATAAGATGTGATATGGCAAGCAGACTTTCACACATCAGTTTGTTTTTCACACTGGGGGACACTCTGGCAAAGCTGTGCATAGGACCCCACCCACATATCAAATCATACTCAGCCCCCAAACTCCTTTAAATTACAAAGAAGTTTTTATAGCAATTTAGATATTAACATATATTAAAATCCATGTCTACAACCTTAGATGAATATTTAGCTTTTAATGAGCAATCTGCATACATTTATTTCTCTCAGTCCTCATACACAGTTGGTCTTATTTGTATTTATCGGATGGCCTGGCAAACCATGTAATTTCTGCACTCTAATTTAAAACCTCACATCTATCCAACTAAGAAGAATTAGTACTCTTAAAATTTAGCTTACTGATTTCATTAGAAATAGTCACAAGTTAATAGCTTTTTAAGATATAGCTCAGAAATACGGCTGAAATGCTCTGAAATTATATTATTAAATGTAGGTACTCTTTATATTAGCTTTTTTTTTCTTTTTACCTGGTAGGTTAATAAAAGGAATTCTTAGCATCTACTTCAAATAATTGTTTGCAATAGTTAAGTTACATACACATAGATCAGTTTGAAATGTGAGAACACTCTAAAACATACAAATAATTTTAACATTGGGTGTGAAAATTATACTTTTTAATGTCTACGTGACCTCTGAAAAGTTGCTGGGAAATTTTATATATTTGTCCTGCAGATACAATCCTTTTTTGGTTTATTAAGTATTGAAGTCCAGCTAAGTGAATGGACACCAAATTATATTTAATATATTTTTAGCAATATTCTTGTAACCTTGTCATTTTCAAAGATTAAAAATTTGGGCATGTCTGAAATTTACTTTGGACTTACTGATCCATGTGTAAATCCTGCTTTATAATTACTAAGCAGTATTAAATTATTTTGCAGTCCAGAGAGCACAGCTGGTAGTTGGTGTGTATGAAAACCACACTGTGTACGAGTCCATACTCAGCACCACTGAAGAGTGAGCTTGTTGTTCACAATTCACTATTAAAGGCTTACAACATGATACACGACTGCGTATGTATGCAACAGGAGTGATAAAGACATTTGATGGGTGAAACATTTTACATATTATTCCATTACATTGCATCTGTAATGTGCCAGGAAATAATTTATTGCATAATTCCAGAATGCTACTCAGCCATCACGATACTTCTTATACAATACACTTTCCTTTAAATTACATACATAAATACAATATAGTTTCTACTTTAAGCACAGTATTTCTATGAAAGAAGATAGTCATGAACCTCCAACTATAGTAATATTTTAAAATAATCATGAGAAACTAGTTAGAGAGCCACAACAGACTACAGATTCACCATATTTATTCTAACTGAAAATTATTTGTAAAGAACTTTTCCTGTTCACCTTCCTAAGAGTTATAAATTTTTCCTTTAATCACCTATTCAGATTTCCTTTGATGAGTTCCTTGTCAATGAGAGCAAATAAAAATCTATTATTAATAATCTAATATCTGTTTTCTTACTTCCAAAACACCTTCATTTACATTGTTTGTTTCATACTTACAACAAACCATTAAGATAAATATTCTTCTTATGCACATTTTATAAACATGGAAAATAAGGCAGGCCTAAAGGGGTTATCTTGCCCAAGGTGACAAAACTGGGAAGAAATTGTTTCAACTAGAACCGAAGTCCTCAGATGCAAACCTCAACCTTGCCCACACTAGATAGACCACACTGTGTCATTCAATCCAGATACATGTGTCAATCTCAGTTCTCTCAAAAGCTAAAGAAAAAGCCTAATATTTAACTCTTTTCCCCAACTGCAATGGACTGAATGTTTATGTGCCCCCAAAATACACCATATCCCCCCTGTGACAGCATTAGGAGGGGGGAACCTTTGGGAGGTGGTGAGGTCACGAGGTGGAGTACCCTTGTAAAAGGGACCCCAGAGAGCTCTCTTGCCCCTCCCACCTTGGGAGGACACAGTAAGAGGATGGCTGTCTATGAACATCAGCGTGACACCCAATCAGTTCTCATCAGACAGTGAATCTGCTGGTGCCTTGATCTTAGATTTCCCAGCCTCCAGAAACTGTGAGAAATGTTTGTTGTTTAAGTCACTCAGTCTGTGAGTTTGTTATAGCAGCCTGAATAGACTATGACATCAACTGGCCCCAACATCAGATTTATTACTGGGTTCTATTATAGCCTTTTGAAAAACAAAGATGCAAATGTACAATATCTCTCCAGCTACATACTATATAATCTTTCTCAGCTAAACTTTCTCTACTCTGGACTACCTAAGACTTAATATATAAATATATAGCATCTGGATCTAATGATGTCTAAAAAGTCTCAAGCATTCCTGTATGTTGAATGATGTTAATTTTTCTAATTGCAGTTTATTTTTCTAATTTTTCTAATGGAAAGCTACAGTATAGCTTTCCTTTGTCATTACAAAACATAATACTGTTTGTGTGTTGAGGAAATTTTTTCCAAGCCATATTTTTGCAAATAATGAGGATTCAATTCAAATTAGATCTCTAATTCTAATATACAAATGCACTAAATCAGTTCAAAGAAACAATGTCAAGAATAAAGGATTGTGTGATTTTGTTCCCATTCCTTTAGCTTTTAAACCTCATTAAAAAATCATAAAAGCTTTTCAAAGCACATGAATTCACTTGACAGTCTCACTCCAAAGTCTCTAAGACTGGAACAACACTCACATTAGACATCTTTTCTTCCCAGTAGTCCTTACTTTACTTTGAAAGCATTTCCAAAGTAACCAGTGGAAAAATAAACAAATGATGATCAGATAGTATTTAGAGTCATTATATGCTGAGAAGTAGACACCACTTCAAAAATCTCTGTCTCTGACCCAGGGCAGGGATACAGCCAAACAATATAATATGGGGTCTCTCTACACTACTCTCATTGCAAATTGATTTTAAAAATAAATCACCTTATAGCCTTTCAACATGTCTAGTACTACATTGTCATCAAGATGTTTCTTGGGTCTCACATATACCTAACTGAAATTGAAATTCACCTCTTTGAACTCTCTCTCTGGGAAACAAAGCACCTGATTAATCTGTATCCCTCATTAATTTGTTCCTTTTCTTTATCCTGAATAACCCCTGACCCACTCTCCAGAGACCTGATGATAATCATTTAGCATTCTTCTTTATGTCCCTTAGCAATTGTTTCAGATCTTGTCAGCATAGCCACTTTCAAATAATAAATACCGTTCCCAAATCAAGTTGTAGTTTTGAGAGCTAGAAAGAAATGAAGAGTTATCTAGGAAAGGATTTCCCTAAAGTTGAAGTCCCTAAAGTCACTGGAGAGCTTATTAAAACAAGAAGTGAAAGCTCCCACCCTCAGACTTTCTGATTCATTAGGTCTGAAGTAGGCCCCAGGAATGTACATTTCTGACAAATTCCTGGTTAATGTAGATGCTGCTGATGCAGTGACCACTTTTTGAGTCACAAATCTGAGCCAGCAGTTTTGATTTTGGTTTCAAATTAAAACTATCCGGGGCACTTTAAAAAAAACCTTAAATCTGTGCCCCACTCCCACAGAGCAACTCAACTGATCTAGGAGGAGAACAGATTTTTTTTTCCCCCTCAAATATTCCAGGGGAAGAAATCTCTCAAGAGAGACTGGCAATAAAATATCTGGGAAAAGTGCCTACCTGGAAGTTTCACTGGATATTTAGAGAGCTCCCACTCTCCACAGACTGCAAAGTAACAGCTACCATCAACCACGTGAGCCCTTCAGACACTTGGGTATGTGTGTGAGGCAGTAGGATAGGGAATCACTGAGTCACAGAGATCGCAGCAGGCACTTGAGGAGGGATGAGAAACAATGCCGCCAGCTGAAAGCCTATTTCAATGCATGGGCCAGAAACAAGGGAAAGTTTTATAGTACATTCGAAAAAAAAGCAATGAATGAACTAGTCACTGAAAATGAAAATTCAACACCATTTAAGCAACATCTGATAGGTCCATGGAGAGGCAAGAGTCAAATGGATTCAGATATTGATCCTATGGTATTATACCATATACAATTTCAAGCACAGTTTTCATGTGCTATATCAATAATTGAACGAGAAGGCAGAAAAACATATGCTCAGATGTTAGGCAGGGTGCATCCCAGATTCAAGGGGACAGGAGGAGTGGCAAGAAATGTGCAGCTGTGTTTAATCCACTGTAGTCTATTCTCTGCCCACAAATGATTTACATTCCTCCCACATGCAAAGCACATTCCCCCACTCCTAAATCCCCCAAAAGTTCATCCCATTATGGCATCAAGTTCAGGCTTGAAGTCTAGGATCTTGTCATCTAAGTCAGGCCCAGGATGCTGCGGAAGATTCTTAAGATTCTTAGAGGCCCTTCTATCCAGCTGAGAAGATCTAGGAGGCTCTGCCTTAGATCTTTTTGCAGTCTTAATACTCTGATGAGCTCTGGTTTTTATTTGTATCTTGAGACCAAGCTTTACCAGCAGTAGTGCCCTCGAGCTGATTTTTCAACCTGAGGCCATTAATCTTCCTTTGAGTACCTTCTGCTGGGTGGAGATGCTGGGAATGAGAAACAGTTTTACTTATGATCCTAGAAAATTCTTAGTTGGAAACATATCCTCTCAAAATCTACTTAATATCTGAACAGTTTCTTCTTTAATTCATCTCCCTCTGCACTACTTTGGTCAAAAGGGGTTAAAAAGAGTCAATTAGCACTTCAATGTTCTGTTAGAAAATCTCCTAAGCTAGATCTACAACTCTATTAGGTTCATTTTCTATCTTCAATGTTTCTGTAGGTATCGGTCTTGTCAATTTCTCTGTCAATATAAAACAAGGGTACAATTTTATATTCTCCCATAGCAATTTCCTCACTGCCCTTCCAACCACCACTAACAGCCTTACTT